CCAACCCAAACCATTCCATGAGTCTGTGATTGCTCTGAGAGAGGGATACATACTTCTAAAACAAGAATTTAATCTGAGACAGATGCAGTGAAGTCTCATTGCTTAAGAAACCTGAACTTTCACCATGTTTTTAATGTCATTTTCCTACAGATCATCCCAGAACATCTATAGCCAACGTTCCACCTTCCCTCAGCTGGAATTGTAGAGTGCTCAGTTTAAGAAGTGAACAATTTTGAAACAAGCCTGTGCTCTCTGGTTCTTATCATAATCTCTTTTGTGAAGTTGTGTAGTCTAAATTGTATCATCTAAATATGGAAAATTTGAGGATTTAAGATTTAATTCTTATTTCTAAACCTAAGAGATTTCTTTTTTTGCCACAAAATGATGAGTCTTAAATAAATAGTAAATTTATAGTCTTAAATAATAATAAATCCTAATGAAAAAACTCTGTTTTGTGTGGTTATAATCCTGTATTTTAGTCACACCTTTATATCCTCAGGGTAAAAAAAAAAGGGGGAATTATTTCAATTTTTTAATAAAAATATCAGAGAAAATGCAAGAGCAGGAAAGAGAAAATATATCTTCAGGATTTGGAGGCAGTGAGATTAGAAACAAAAAGCAGTTCAGGTGTTGTTTTGTTTGAATTTCAGCCCAGAATGAATTTCTTCATTTCATTAATGAAATGAATCAATGAAATATTTGATGGAGGAATTGCTTAGGAAATTTGTCACCAAATTATGGAGGAAGTTGTTGTTCTTTAAGACTGATAATTCTCTAAACTGTTGGCTCCAAATGTATTTTCGTGAAGCTTTGGAGGTTTCATGTTGACATCTGATGGTGAAGCTGTCTCTTTTCAGAATGGAAGTCATTTGCACAACAAACATATATATTTTAAGAAAAGAAAAAGTGGATTTTCAAGCAGTTTGATTCTTCCCAAGAAGGTGAAAATGTGTGGAACCAATTAAGCATTCAATTTATTTTTTCTTTAAAATGAATAACTGCAAAGGTTAGTTAATTACAGCAATTAAGGGAAATCTTTACTCCAAAAAACTCCTCCTTTTCCTGATTTTCTACTGATTTCCTTTTCATTTCACTTACTGATTTTCTGCATCACTAGAAGAGGGTGAATCCCACATTAACTTATATAATTTTGAAGTATAATTTTTATTAATTCAATTTTTTTTCCTTTTTCTTTTCTTTTTTAACAGGGAAAACCAGACTTAAATACAACTTTACCCATCAGACAAACCGCCTCCATTTTCAAACAACCAGTCACCAAAGTTACCAATCATCCCAGTAACAAAGTGAGATCTGATCCTCAACGAGTGACGGAGCAGCCACGACAGGTGAGAATTCATCTCTTTCCTTTATTATTAATCAAAAAATTCAAATAAACTGAAAATCTCCTTATTTTCAGCTCATTCTTTTCTTGAATGTTACTTAGAGAAATTGTAATGCATAATTTTTAAAAAATAAATACACAAATAACCATCAGTTCATCCAGAGATTCTTTTTTCTTAATCCAAAACATCCTTCACATTTAATTACCACATTCCACTTGAAATTCTGATATCTGCTGTCACAATTAGACATCAAATATATAAAAAAACACCTCAAAATTCATGTGCAGCTTCTTAATAGAATTTTCTATAAAATCCACAGTTCTCAGCAAGAATTAATTTCTCTCTTTTCTAGAGAAGGACTTGGTGCAAAATCCGTGCAGAATTATATTTGAAATCCCTCTTTTCTACTCTGCTTCTGTGATAAATCCCAAGGAAAAGAACATAAATTCATCTTCCCCAGGTTCTCCTCTAGCTGCTTTCCTTTATATCGCTGATGGATCGCCTGTTCACACAATGCTTCTTTGATTTTGGTTTTTATGGGGAGGAGAGGGTGGAGAAGAAGCAGAAATCTCATTAATTACCAAATTATTGGCTGATAATGTCATGTTTTTTGGATTGAGGTATCGTTTTTAAATCTGGCTTCTATTTTTTTTTGAGTTATAACATTACTACTATCAAATTGAAATGCTTTATTCTATCTTAGGAGTTCAGGGATGAGAAGGAAAAGCAGAGATGTTCAGGGTAGTCACCTTCATCCCTGGGAAGGTGGTGGAACAGTTTGTTCTGGAGGACATTTCTAAACATGGAGAGGAAAAGGAGGTTGTTGGGAGCAGTCAACATGGATTGACCAAGGGAAATCATGTCTGACCAATCTGAGAGCCTTCTATGATGGCATGACTGGCTGGGTGGAGGAGGGGAGAGCAGTAGATGTTGTCTACCTTGACTTCAGCAAGGCTTTTGACACTGTCTCCTGTAGCATCCCCATAGGAAAGCTTAGGAAGTGTGGGTTAGATGAGGGGACAGTGAGGTGGGTGAAGAACTGGCTCGCTGACAGAGCTCAGAGGGGTTTAATCAGTGGTGCAGAGTCTAGTTGGAGGCCTGTGGTCAGTGGTGTTCCTCAAGGGTCACTGCTTGGTCCAGTCCTATTCAATGTTTTCATCAGTGATTTGGATGAAGGGACTGAGTGGACCCTCACCCAGTTTGCTGATGACACTAAACTGGGAGGAATGGCTGATCCACCAGAAGGTTGTGCTGCCATCCAGTGAGATCTGGCCAGGCTGGAGAACTGGGTGGAAAGGAACCTGGTGAAGTTCCATAAGGGCAAGTGTAGGGTCCTTCACCTGGGGAGGGATAACCCCAGGCACCAGCACAGGTTGGGGGTGACCTGCTGGAAAGC